CCCTCCCCAGTGGCAGGGTGAACTACAGGGATGCTGGGCAGTCGGCTTAGATCCCCAGCGGCAGTGTGATATGCAGGGAATTGGGAGCCTAGTCTCCATTCCCCAGCGGGAGATATTGCAGGGAATTGGGAGCCCAGTCTCCATTCCCCAGCGGGAGAGTGTCCTACCGGGAATAGAGAGCCCAGTCTCCTTTCCCCAGCAGCAGGACTCTGTATTGGGAGCAGAGACTGTTGGTCTCCCTCCCCCGCGGCTGGAAGTATGTATGGGAGAGGAGCTGGTTACCCCCTCTCCCCAGCGGCAGCTTAATGTACCTGGGGGAGACAGTAAGCCCCAAAACTGTGCAGATTTGAAATGCTGGCATTCAGGGCCAGGGATTGCGGGTGGGTAGGGGGGTACTTCCTCATTCTCTCCAGTGTTTGGGAGATGGACAGCTGAACACTTCCATGGGACAGTGTGGAGATGCTTGTGGACGGTGGCGGACGTGGTGGCGTTGCCACATCCTCTGTTTGCGGGGTGGCAGGTGCCACTGTCACTCCAGAGGTGGAGGAAGAGGCCAAGACAGCAGCAGAAGAGGAGGCAGGAGGAGCCTTGAGGTGCTTACTTGACTGCAGCTCGTGCTTTGCATGTAGGTGCCTGGTCATGCAGGTTGTGCTCAGGTTTAGCACGTTTATGCCTCGCTTCAGGCTCTGATTGCACAGTGTGCAAACCACTCATGTCTTGTCATCAGCACATTGTCTGAAGAACTGCCATGCAAGGGAACTCCTTGGAGCTGACTTTGGTGTGTTTGGTCCCTGGGTGCGGTGGGCAGTAGCAGGCGTACTGTCTAGGGGACGGCTGCTCCACTTTTACACCCTGCTCTAGGAGGAGGAGGTGGATGTGGAGTAGGGGGTTGAGGAGGTGGTGACCATGGCGGTGTAGGTGGAAATGGCGGTGCAGGCGGAGGATGTAGACAACACTGTGGTTTTTTTTTCTGTTTGTTTTGGGGTAGCCCCCAAAATATTGGGACATATAAAAAAAGAAACGTTTGCGACCTGTGGTCCATTTCTTGCAGTCCAATAAAGCCAGAGAATGACAGCATTTCAAAGGCCAGGAATTTTGAAATGCTGGCATTCAGGGCCAGGGATCGTGGGTGGGTGGGGGGTACTTCCTCTTTCTCTCCAGTGTTGGGGAGATGGACAGCTGAATGCTTCCATGGGAGATGCTGGACAATTGTGTACCGGGCCTATGCTGGTGCAGGAACCCACTCTCCAAGCCACTTGTAAATGACTGGCCTGATAACAGTGGAAATGACCCCTCTTCCTCCTGTGCCACATCCTCTTCCATCATTGCCCAAAGCATTTTTTCAAGGAGACATAGAAGCGGGATAGTTAGGCTGAGAACGGCGTCATCGGCCCTGGCCATGTTGGTGGAGTACTCGAAACAGCGCAACATGGCACACAGGCCTTGCATGGAGGCCCACTCATTGGTGGTGAAGTGGTGCTGTTCTGCAGAGCGACTGACCTGTGCTTGCTGCTGCTTGCACAGTCTCTCCAGCATGTGCAAGGTGGAGTTCCACCTTGTGGGCACGTCGCATATGAGGCGGTGAGCGGGAAGGCCGAAGTTACGCTGCAGCGCAGAGAGGCGAGCAGCAGCAGGGTGAGAACGCCGAAAGTGCGCACAGACGGCCTGCACTTTCTGCAGCAGCTCTGATATATCTGGGTAGTTTTTCAGGAATTTCTGCACCACCAAATTCAGCACATGCGCCAGGCAAGGGATGTGCGTCAAACTGGCTAGGCCCAGAGCTGCTATGAGATTTCGCCCATTATCGCACACCACCAGGCCGGGCTTGATCCTCAGGGGCAACAACCACTCATCAGTCTGTTGTTCTATGCCTATCCACAGCTCCTGCGCAGTGTGGGGTTTTTCCCCCAAACATATGAGTTTAAAAACAGCCTGCTGTCGTTTTCCCCTGGCTGTGCTGAAGTTGGTGGTGAAGATGTTGCACTGACCGGATGAGGAGGTGGTAGAGGAGGAGGAAGCAAAGTAGGATGAGGAGGAGGCAACAGGAGGCAAAGCTGTATACCCAATTAAAGATTGTCAAATGTATCCTGGAACTGTGTCCCATCCGGTTACTGGGGAAATGGGTCTGACCTATTCTAATCAAAGGGGATAACCATCGGTTACCCAGGTCCCGCTTCAATTGGTGGCAAGCGGCGGGATCCCATGTCCCTGCCAACAGACCCATGGACTACAGTGCTCTAAAGCGACCTACACTGCAGGACTTGTGTGGAGCCAGAGGAGGGCGTAACAAGGCCAAATTGACTGCTGCACTCATGGAGGACGACCAGGCACGCAGTGAGGCAACGAACCCCAGCCAGAGGCCGGAGAAGAGGAGGAAGTACGCAAGGAGGTGGACCGGCTCCTGGCATATTACCGAGAGTCACCCTTAGAGGAGATCGTCAGCAGGACCTTTTTGGAGGTGCAAGCCTATGTCCTTGCCAATAGAGAGGGTGACTTCCATGAACCCAGATGAAGGAAAAAGGAAGCATAGGGAAGCACAACCACCCTGGCCCACAAGCTACCATACAATGCCTTCAAAGACTTCAAGGAAGCAGAAGAAGCAGAGACTGTGGCTGAAGCCTTGATGAGAGTGTTCTCCCGGATAGGTTTTCCCCGGGAGATTCTTTCAGATCAGGGCACCCAGTTTACTGCCGAAATGACCCACCAACTGTGGAGATTGTGTACATTAAACCAATCCTGAGCTCACCTTACCACCCCCAGACCAATGGCCAGTGTGAGCAAATGCTCCGTACCTTTGAGAGAGATTCCTGCCCCATCTCCTGTTTGCCTATCGGGAGGTGCCACAGGAATCAACTGGGTTCTCCTCGTTCGAACTGCCACGCCAGGGAACTCCTTGGAGCTGGCTTTGGTGTACTCAATCCCTGGGTGCGGTGGGCAGTAGCAGGTGTACTGTCTAGGGGACAGCTGCTCTGCTTTTGCACCCTGCTCTAGGAGGAGGAGGTGGATGTGAAGTAGGAGGTTGAGGAAGCAGTGACCGTGGCCGCAACGACGCATTCGGATGTCTGCCTTATCAACTTTCAATGTTACTTTCTGTGCCTACCATGGTGACCACGGATAACAGGGAATCAGTGTTCGATTCCGGAGAGCCAGCCTGAGAAACGGCTACCACATACAAGGAACGCAGCAGGCGCGCAAATTACCCACTCCCGACGCGGGGAGGTAGTGACGATAAATAACAATACAGGACTCTTTCCAGGCCCTGTAATTGTAATGAGTCCACTTTAAATCCTTTAACAAGGATCTATTGGAGGGCAAGTCTGGTGCAGAGCGACTGCTATCGCCTGCTGCTGCTCACACAGTCTCTCCATGATGTGCAAGGTGGAGTTCAACCTTGTGGGCACATCGCATATGAGGCGGTGAGCGGGAAGGCCGAAGTTATGCTGCAACGCAGACAGGCGAGCAGCAGCAGGGTGAGAACGCCGAAAGCACGCACAGCCGCTACAGTGAAACTGCGAATGGCTCATTAAATCAGTTATGGTTCCTTTGATCGCTCTGTCTGTTACTTGGATAACTGTGGTAATTCTAGAGCTAATACATGCCAACGAGCGCTAGGGGACAGCCGCTCCGCTTTTGCACCCTGCTCCCTATTATGCTGTGCTGGTGCCTCTGTGTGACCAGCGCCTCTTCCTCCAAACTGCTCACGTCACTCGCATGACCTTGATTCCATGTGGGGTCTAGGACCTCATCATCCTCCACATTATCTTTCACCCACTGCTCAACCCTGCCCTCCTTGCCGGTCTGCACACTGCAGAAAGCCAGAGCAGTTGGCACCTGTGTTTTTCCAGCATGTAAAGTCTGCAAAAGACATATGGAAATTTGTTTTAGAATTGTATCCAGGCAAGTTTTCCCTATAAACTGACCTCTCAGTTTGACTTGTGAGGGTATTGCCCCAGAATTACAATATTGTTGAAGTACCTCTTACCTATTGATAACTGGTTTAAATATAGCAGCTTGTTATCTGGTAGTTTCTAGTGTAGAAAATATCAATCTATCACTTAGATCTGTTTAACAAGTGTTGTAGGCAGGGGCGGACTGACAGGTCGGGCAGATCGGTCATGGACCGAGGGCCCGAGGCAGTCAGGGGCCCGGCAGCACAGCCATGCTCAGAGATCTCCTCAGCCAGAACAACATGATTTTTTTGTTATTCCGGTGATATGCAGGGCCCCTGCAGCATATCACTCTGTAGTTAACCCCCTCACTCCCCCCCTCACCCGTTTCCCCTCTCTCAGGGAGACCTGGCAGTGAGTATTCAGTTCTTGCTGCCAGGTCACCAGCCCCGCGGTGCTGTGCTGTGTGTGAGGAGGAAGAGGCGGGGCCAGGAAGTGACATCACGTCCTGCCCTGCCTGAAGAGCACCCGAAGGTAAGGAGCTGCAGCAGCCTGGCTGACAGCACAGGTAAGCTAATTTTCATTCAGCTCAGCACCCCCTGTATCCCTGCACCCACCTCAGCCTCCAGTACCCACCTCAGTGCCCACATCAGCCCCCAGTACCTACCTCAGCCCCCAGTACCCACCTCAGCCAACCTTGTACCCACCTCAGCCCCCAGAGTGCCCACCTCAGTACCCACATGGCCCCAGTACCCACTCTGGCCCCAGTACCCACCTCGGTGCCCACATCAGCCCCCAGAGTACCCACCTCAGCCCTACGTGCACTCACCTCAGCCCCCAGTGCCCACCTCAGCCCCAGTACCCCACCTCAGGTGCCCACGTATTTGTTTACCTCAGCCCCAATTGCTCCCAACCCCGGCCCCATTTTACCTCAGCCCCAAGTACCCTCAGGGTGCCCATCAGCCCCAGTACCCCACCTCAGTGCCCGCATCAGCCCTGTATCCACCTCAGCCCCCTGTACCCACCTCAGGTACCCACCTCAGCCTCCAGGTACACCAGCCTCGGGTGCCCACCTCAGCCCCCTGTACCCACCTCAGCCCCCAGTACCCACCTTAGTGTCCACATCAGCCCCCAGTACCCACCTCAGCCCCCCGTACCCACCTGAGTATAGGGGGCTGAGGTGGGTACTGGGGGCTGATGTGGACGCTGAGGTGGGTACTTGGGGCTGATGTGGGCAGTGAGGTGGGTACTGGGGGCTAATGTGCCCACCTCAGTGCCCACCTCAGTTCCCCTGTATCCACATCAGCCCCCAGTACCCTCCTCAGTACCCACATCAGCCCCCAGTACCCACTCCTCAGCCCCTGTGTACCCACCTCAGCCCCCAGTACCCACCTCCTCAGCCCTCAGTGCCCACTCTCAGCCCCCTGTACCCACCTCAGCCTCCAGTACCCACCTCAGCCCCCAGTACCCACCTCAGAGCCCACATCATCCCCCAGTACCCACCTCAGTGCCCAAGACCAGGCCCCCAGTACCCACCTCAGCCTCTGTACCCACACCTCTTAGTCTCCTCTAGTACCTCCACCTCAGTGTCCACATCAGCCCCCAGTACCCACCTCAGCCCCCTGTACCCACCTCAGCCCCCAGTATCCACCTCAACCCCCAGTACCCACCTCTTTAGTGCCTACATCAGCCCCCAGTACCTACCTCAGCCCCTGTACCCACATCAGCCCCTACATCAGCCCCCAGTACCCACCTCAGTGCCCACATCAGCCCCAAGTACCCACCTCAGCCCCCAGTACCCACCGCAGTGCCCACATCAACCCCCCTGTACCCACCTCAGCCCCTTGTACCCACCTCAGCCACCAGTACCCACCTTAGCCCCAGTACCCACCTCAGCCCCCCTGTAACTACCTCAGCCCTCCTGTACCCACATCAGCCCCCAGTACCCACCTCAGCCTCCCTGCTCCCAACTCAGCCCCCCTGTACCCACCTCAGGGCCCTGTGAGGTGTCAGTCCACCCCTGGTTGTAAGTGTGACACAATATTACAAGTGACCGATGTAGTAGATTCGAATCAAAGTTCCATTTGCAAAAAAAATTCTCGCCCATTTTCTGTGGGTTATTGCATTTTTAACATGTAGACTTATTGTATCACACTAGCCATGCACAGGTAGATTGTCTGGCACGTTGTTTTGGTGTTTGGTTTGTAACTTTGTAGTTGTGTCTTTACACAATATAGAAATTTATATTAATGCTTCTGTATATGAAGCGATCACAATTACACTTATTTTTCACTTTATTAAAAAGTCTTTAGACTTTCTTGAGAAGCGGTAACTAGCCACACATACACCAGATATGAAGTGCACACCCAAAATGTACTTTTTAGCACCCAAAAATTTGGAATTACTCAAACTGCAATGTCACAGCACTATTTGACAGTTCTCATTGACTCTCAGATATGAAGTGCAGGCCCCAAATTTACTATTTAGCACCTAAAGAATTTAAATTTTTAAAACTGCGCTGTAACCACAGTATTTGACGGTTCTATTTGACTCTCAGATATGAAGTTCACCGCAGGCCGCAAATGTACTATTTAACACTAAAAAGTTTGATTTTTTTAAACCAACAATGTAACAGTAGTATTTAAAGCGGCACTGTCATGCCGAATCACGGTTTTTTTTAACCCGCCTCCACTATCTCTAATGGACCCCTTAGTCACCCCCAAATGCCACTAAGCCCCCCATATTACCTATTTTGTATTCTTTATGTTCTGCCCCGATCTTAATTCAGGGCGCCGCCATCTTTGTGTGGGTAGATGAAGTCCCTATGGGACACGTCATCTGCCCACACTAGATAGACTGTGAGATTCCCACACATGCCCAGTGAAACACTTGGACATGCGGACGGGAATTTCATCTAATCATTCATTCAACAGACAGACGAATGAATGAATAGAAAAATCAGACAAACAAACTAACACTGAGGATCAGTGTTCATTTGTTCGTTCAGTTTATTACAAGGAGGGAGCTACCAGCACGCAGCTCCCTCCTTGTAATATGTAAAGATAGAAGCAGCAGGGATCAGTGCTCCCCGCCACTTCATAAGCCCCCCAGGTTCCCCCTCACTCTATGGGGGTCAATATGACCCCCATAGTAGCATAAGGGAGATTAAAATCCCCAATGCCCCTACTCACTATACCGCGAGTAGGGGTATGTCTACTAAACACTGTCACTGTAAAAAAAAAAACCCTACTATCCGGCCCCCACCCCTGAGCGGCGGGTGGGGGCCATAAATTACAATGGGGGGATGGGGATCTACTGTCCTCCCCCGGCCCCCATATGATAATGAGGGGGGGTTACTGTCCTCCCCCCCGGCGCCCACCCCTGGGCGGCGGGTGGGGGCCATAATGAGGGGGGGACCTACTGTCCTCCCCCCTGGCCCCCACCCCTGGGCGGTGGGTGGGGGCCATAATGATAATGAGGGGGGACCTACTGTCCTCCCCCCCCATGCCCTCGTCCCTGGGTGGCGGGTGGGGGCCCTAAGTCAAAGGTGACTAGTCACCCACCCCCCCACCCAAATAAAAAGTCACCTACCTACCCCCTCACCCTAAAAAATTATGAGGGGGAGGACAGTAGGTTCCCCCACTCATTATCTTTATGGCCCCCACCCGCCGTCCAGCGGGGGAGGACAGTAGGTCTGTCCCCCTCCTCATTGGGACAGTAGGTCCCCCCCCATTATCGTTATGGCCCCCCACCCGCCGCCCAGTGGTGGGGGCCTGGGTGGGAGGACAGTAGGTCCACCCCCCTCATTATCATTATGGCCCCCACCCGCAGCCTGATATATCCGTGTTCGGGTCCGGGGACCAAAACATGGAATGTTCGGTACGAACCCGAACTTTACAGTCCGGGTTCGCTCCACTCTATTCTATATAGAAGGCCTCTGTTTACCAGAAAGTTTAGACCCTGTGTATTTATGAAACAAAGTGGAAACACCTCCCAATACCTGGTAGTATAGGAAAAAATACAAATAACCTGAAATAAAGGTCGTGATTCATGAACGGAATCTGCACAAATAATTAAAAAACTGACATAGCGTAATACAGTATTAAATTAGTGAGTGATATTTAATAGAAATAGGTGCACTCACAAACAGACATGAAATCAGGCTTCTCACCCTCCCACGGGTAGCAATGTGATGAATAGAAGGTCCTCCATGGGATATATGCAAAATAAAGAACCAAATATAGTGAAGCATGTAATCAAATTACAAAGTTATATTTATTGGTCTCGCTTACAAGTGAAGAAATATAGTAGGCATATCTCCATATAACATGGAACTCCCAAACGATGCAGAAGAAAATCCAATAGAAGATCCAATGAAGCAGGCAGAATAAAAAATAAAAACTACATACAAAAATACATAATAAAATAAAATAAAATATAATATAGCAGCATACATAAACTTAAAGCATCTGTCCAACGCGTTTCGTCCAACAAAAGGGGACTTCCTCAGGGATGTAGATGTGATTATCCTCCTAGATATATATAGGGCAGTATCCGTAATCATCCTAAATTCAAAAACCCTGGTGTATTTGGTTCTTTATTTTGCATATATCCCACGGAGGACCTTCTATTCATCACATTGCTACCCGTGGGAGGGTGAGAAGCCTGATTTCATGTCTGTTTGTGAGTGCACCTTTTTCTATTAAATATCACTCACCAATTTAATACTGTATTATGCTATGTCAGTTTTTTAATTCTTTGTGCAGATTCCGTTCATGAATCACAACCTATATTTCAGGCTATTTGTATTTTTTCCTATACTACCACGTATTGGGAGGTGTTTCCACTTTGTTTCTTAATTTTATGTGTTTTAGGTGTTAGTGAGGTACACCTGGGACCTCTCCCTAATATATGGTCTTTAACTCTAACTTTGTATAGTGTGTATACTTTACTGTTTGCCTGTGTATTTATGGATGTAATTTTAGTTGAAATAGTTTTTCGCTAAAACTAATGTTATTCCAAAAATTGGCTCTAGAATTTTCAAGTAAACTCGTCCACGCCCATTCATGATAGTTGACCCTACACATACTACACAAATAACAAAATCATTATAATATGATATAAAATCCAAACAATACACCACCAAAACAAGATAATACATATCTTTACAGGTGGTTATCCTGAGAGATCAAATCATACAAACAATCCCCCAAAAAAACAAATAAAAGATCTAAGGGGAAATTCAATCGCTGGTGGCAATCTATGGAAAGGTGGTTAAATATAAAGCATACTCAATATCTATAACAGAGACTGCGAGTCTTTAAGACTCTCACTCGTATTTGGTCCACTTTTGACCCAGTATATGAGGAGGACAAACTTATAGGGGTAAATATATAGGATGTAATAGAGATAAAGCAGAACTATACATTATTAAAAATATACCTACATAGTTATCAAAAAATATTAAACTAACAAATATTATAATTAGTGAACGTTAGTATAAAATTAAGCATAATATAACATAATATATTATGTAATCCAGTGATTTTGTGAAAAGAATATTTTCTATTTCCTCTTTTTTATCCTGTTTAATTATACTTCTACAAGAGGGTATTTAGTGTAGATATAAACTTATGTGGTCATAAGTTTATCAGATAAAACATTTCATCCACTGTAACACGAGAAATGTCATTTATTTATTGGAGTGTCCGTGTGGGTTACAATATTTAGGTATGACTACTACGGATTTAAAAACTAGACTGGCCGAGCATTGTCGGAATATTTTAAAAGACTATGAGAATCATTCAGTGTCAAAGCAATTTTTACAGCATGGAAAAAATCCGAAACATCTTAAATGCATTGGCATAGATATATGCAGTGTCCCATGGAGAGGTGGAGACATCAAAAAAGTTTTAGGCAAAAAGGAAATAAAATGGGCTTACAATTTGAAAACTCATGCCCCAAGAGGTCTTAATATAGATTTTGATCTTTTTTACTTTTTATGAAGCTTTAGAATTCTCTTAAACTTTCAGTAAAAAATGTTATGTATACATCTATATCTTTTATGTTTTTTCTGTAAACGTTTATATATTTTAATTTATATCCTTTTAACATGTTTTTATGTTTTGCACAATTAAGTAATTATTTTAGCCCAATATAGAAGTGGGCTCTTTATTTTTATTGTTTTTATACATATGTTCTAAACATATATTACATGTTGTCTCTTATATATTATTTAGGAATATATATTATTTAAGTTCACATATTATTGTATGTAGATGTGTCCACTAAATAATCCATTGTTTTAATGTGCACTCTTTATCATTCAATGTAAGTACTTATTCTATATGTAAAATGTATTAATATGTCTTGTACTTAATATTTAATAATTTTGTCTGTCTCATTTAGTATGCCCCTTCTGGGTTTTGAACTTGTGTTCCTGTGTGAGGCTGGTGCGTTTATGCTGTCTGCTTGCTTATGCAGTCAGACAGCATGAAAGCATGTTCAGCTCTATTCGTCACTCCACTTTGAGGAGGTGATGATTTTTCAAATGCAGCCCATCCCTCTCTCCTCACACAGATGCCGTAGACTTCTTTTCTCTACACATGCGTCCCACCGGTAAGGGACGCATGCGTTCCACCTGATATTACGTGACGCAGAAGTAGTTTTGCCGCGCGTCACGTGATTTGCTTTTATTCTTTCATATTATATGTTTTAAGCTTCGTTTTTTAGTAAAAATGGCTGTAATAACTTACCATTATATGTTTCAATATACTGCAATTTTGTAAAGTCTATTTTCAATATGTATTATGTTAATGAGATTATGATGATGTCATTATGGCGGGAAAATTTTAATTTTAATAGTACCAATGCTCCCTATATAAACTCATGTGTGTCAGGTTATGTT